ATAAAGAGAAAGGGAGTGTTTTTTCATACCATGAATGGGTCTCAAGTCCGATGGAGTGCAGGGGAGCAATCTTGCAGTATCGTAGCAACCGGAAAATATATCAAATGCGGCAGCAAGATGGGGGTTGAGTTTATTTGTACGTAAGTGTAGCTGATTCTAGTGCTAAATCGTCAACTTCTAGAGGCTGGTGATAGGCTGCAAGTGTGTTTTCCTGTGTTTTCATTTGCACTTTTTACTTAAGAGTTGTAATTCCTTTTTGGGGTATTTCTCATACTCCTGATTAATATAGATCATTTGTTTTGCTGATCAAAAAAAAAAAATGAGTATGATGCAGATAGAATTTTTGAGCTTGTACAACTAAGAGCTTTCATTTGGATTAAGATGCAGATAGAATTTTTGAGCTTGTACAACTAAGAGCTTTCATTTGGATTAAGGGCAGGACTACGGGATACACCTTCAGCTTGCACGATTGGATGCTAAAACCAATCTTAAGCCTTAAGGATAAAAGAGATTAGATACATAATCCCACAAGTGGGAAGCTTTTTGGGTGGACAAAGCAACCTGGGTTTGACAGTGATATATGATGAAACTGCAGAAGAGGACAGAAATTCGACACGGGTATAGTGTCGACACAAAATGTTGGTGTCGACACCATATGATAAGCAGTTAAAACTCTGACACGGACGGGGTGCCGACACATAATTCAAGGGTCGATACTATACGAAAGGCTATCCTACTCATGTAATATGAAGCCTTTCAAGTTATAATGTTTATGAGTTTGGGGTATCCCTCGTACTCCGTTTATTAATAAATAGCATTTTTGCTGTTCAAAAAAACAAAAAAAACATTCGCATGGCCCCATTTGAATACTACCTCATTCCTGATATTCCAAATTGTCCATACCAAAGAGTACCAAACAGCAGCCCAACCCAGTCCGTTATTTGCTTTGGATACCATGCCTTCATGCTGCATAAAAGAATGCCTACATGTTCCACCAAGTACAGTACTTAGACCCCATCATTGAATGCATTTTATCCAAATTGCTGAAGCAATTATACAATGGAGGAAAAGGCGGTCACTATCCTCCACACATTTGTTGCATAACCCGCATGTAGTTGCTTCTATTTCTGTGACTATTCCTCTTCTGAACAGATTGAGATTTTTCTAGTTTTAAAGATGAATTGCATTGCAGAGAGGATTTGCATTCCTTGACTAAATTGCTCACTCAGTTGTTATAAATAGCAGAGTGAATTTCATCTCAAAACATATATCAGCCGTCCAATAAACAACACAGAACAGCATGGGTTTCCTTCTTTCATTTTCAACAACTCTGACCACGGGAATCTTGGCCTTTTTACTCTTTATTTGTAGTTTCTTAGCCCTTTCAAGGCTAAGCAATCCTCAAAAGAAGAGAATGCCACCACAAGCTGGTGATGCATGGCCGCTCATCCGTCACCTCCCCTTGTTAGGGGGGCCAAAACCACTTCACAGAACCTTCGGTGAAATGGCAGACAAGTATGGTCCTGTTTTCACTATCAAACTTAGTGTTAATCGGGCTTTGGTGGTGAGCGACTCGGAAATAGCAAAAGAATATGCCTAACTACAAATGATAAGGCCTTTGCCCACACGCCCGAAATCAGTCTCCATGGAGCTTTTGGGCTACAATTACGCCATGTTTGGCTTCAGCCCTTACAGTTCCTATTGGCGCCACGAATGTAAAATTGCCACACTCGAGCTTTTATCAAACCACCGGCTTGAGATGTTCAATCAAATGAATATACACTTTTTTTTGGCAACCTTGAGTCAGGTGGAAAATTAATTAAAAAGGATATTGTATAGAGATTTAAAAGGTATTAAATAA